TGAACTCTCGGATCAAGGAATGGAAAATGCACCTGTCAATTTTCACCTCACATCTATCTACAATCATTCTATCTTTGAAGCCTTTAGTAAAGTCATTCAAAAATTGATTCCTCATCTTGCTACTCTCGAAGCTCTTCTCAATGATCTTTGTCGCAATTGTCGATTCGAAAAAGCATACCTCTTTGATGTTCTCTCCAAGATTTACATTGCAACCGATTCTTCTCCAGTCGATATGCCTTCTTATGAAATCTGTAGCGATTATATCGATGTCATTGTCGACGTCTCTGAAATATATGGATATCAGCGATCACCGGAATACATTACGAAATTAGAAGGACCACCATGGAATAAGAAATTGGAAGAGCAAATCGCGTGTAAGGATGCGGAAAGTGTCATTGTACTTACGGCAGACAAGAGACCCATTATGTTGAGAGAGGTTAATAAGTATTTGGCGTTGGTGGCGATTATGAAGGAGGGGAGTTATGAGAAGATGCCGTTGGTTACGATGAATGTGGAGACGGTGGTGGATGGGTTGACGAAGGTTTTTGAGATTACGAGGCAGAAGAAGTGAGGGTGGGTGAGTGGGTGAGTGGGTGGAGTTGGATGGAAGGAGAGTGGGGTTTGGGGTGGAGGGGGAAGTTTGGAGGGGGAGGGGGAGGGGGAGGGGGAGGGGGAGGGGAAGGTGGAGGGGGTGTAAAATCTTATGGGATGTTGGGTTGAGAGTGTGAGAGAGAGATTATAGCACTTGATATTTTTTGCTCAAAGAGTAATATTTCGACATCTTGTCTTGTCGTGGACGGATAAGGTGGAGGTGAGGATAGGATACGGGAGAGATGGAGAGTATAGGGGATAGGGGGATTCTGTAAGGATAGTGGAGAGATAATGAGGCAATAGCAAGTGAAGCTACTAGATTCATTTATTTGTATGTGTATGTGTATATATGTGAGAGAGATTATTTCAATGATTTTTTGTCAAGACTGGATAGGAGGTGTAATGCAGATATAAATATAAATACATATACATCTATATCACCTAAGCCCCATTCCCCTACGCAGCAATAAAACCACAAAATCATGATATTAATTATTAAGTATTAAGTATCAAGGTTTTGTTTTTATTGAAAGTTTATGTGAAGTGGAGAAGGAGAAGGAGAAGGAAAAGAAGAAGTGATGTATGTTTTCTATTTCTATAGTTTATATTCATGCTAGATCTCGTCAAGTCTTTCAGTCTTTCAATTTGAATTTGTAAATCTGTAAATCTGTAAATCTGTAAATCTGTAAATCTGTAAATCTGTAAATCTTCTCATCTATAAACGTCATAGTATAATTGTGTGAACAAGGGTATTCACTTCAAAGGAATGACTTCAATACAACGGGTACTGTATCAAAGGGATTTGGGCGAATGCGAAAGAGACTAGCTCTTTCAGTAGTGCCTATATAAGGCCTACTATTTTTCCACTTAGCTAGCTCTTTAGATAGAATACAATTAGACATTTAGGACCTACAAATACGTGGGTGCTACGTCTTCCGTATCCTTCTCGAACCAACCATAATGATCATAATAATCATGATAATCATAATAATCATAACAATCTACTTAGGAATGGTTGAAAAGTATGAGAATATCCTATTCGTACTATATAAATTGGAATATACATTCATAAATTCAGATTTCATTCATTCTTATATTCTCCTTTTCTTCAAAGGGAAGATTGGCTTGGGGGGAGGAAGAGGGGGTTCCTTGATATTTACATTTGTGTTTTGCGTTTTGTATTGTATCTCTAGGTAGGTAGGTAGGTATAAATAAGAAATAAGTAAGTACAAGACTTTGAAATTTGAAAACATAGTGGGTATTAATGTTAATATTGAATGCGGTGATTGGTTGAGTAGTGTTACGTTATGTTTATATGTTCATTTATTCATTTATAAATTTATATATTTGCTTGTTTGATAATCTATTAATCTATTAAGATAGGATTAGAGGAGTGAGGAGTGAGGAGTGAGGAGTGATCTAGATGATATTAAATTCCTCTCCCTTCCTCCCCTTCCTCCCCTTCCTCCCTTCCTCCCCTTCCTCCCCTTCCTCCCCTTCCTCCCCTTCCTCCCCCCTTCCCCTCTCTTTCCAAATAAATAAGCATCGAGAATTAAAGAGATCCATTATATGACATGATATAATATTCTTAAATCAAAACACAAATTCTAAATACATTTCTAAATATGTATAGATACCTACCTATACTAATCATAAATCCGAGCTTCTTCTCATCTATCTATCTATCTATCTATCTATGCATTACCGACTGAGCCCTGGAGTATATAACTTGTTTTGGGTATTTGTTTATTTGTTTATTGTTTATTGTTTGATGGGGAGTATTAAGTGGTTTGGTGATATGGATATAGATACCTAGTAGGTATGTATGTATGTATATTTTAAATGTTGTTGCTTGGAGACGGATATGGTGAGGGGAGTACGCAGTAGGAAGGTGGTGTGTAGTTGGGATGGGAAGGCATTGTAGATATCTCGATTGTGTGAACGTAGTGTGTAGACTGGAGGTGTTGGAATAAATTTACGTTTACATTTACATTTATATGATGTATGGTGTATATTTAGGTCCTATATCAATTAGACATAAACTGTATCGAAATCTTAGTATGCACGGATTATGATGTGAGGTTGAAGTTCATGGCTACAGCTATTACGAGTTTATGGCATCAACACTCTACATCCAAATATCCAAATACAAGTACTGGTAATTCACAAACAGCCATGTATATTGACTCCCAATAATTACCGGAAATAAAGGAGTTCGCTTTTCATTATAATAATCTAATGATGCTGCTTTTCTACTACTGAAAGATACCACTCTAATACGTAGAATTTCCATTTCAATCCCCATCTTCAGTCCGCATCTTTAGGACCATCATATCATTTCCAGAGTAAGGCTTTGACTCTTTCAACTCCGAGTTTCGAGTTTTAATGATATCATCTAATCCGCTCTCCTTCATTGACTCATTATCTCATGTCTCAATTGTCAGAACGTCAAGAGTGCTCTTCATATTTATAGTCCAGACAGTGCAGCGCGGGATGAATTGAGAGTACCTTTAGTTCAACAGAGCATCCGTCTAGTGAAGCTCTGGAAGTGTATAACGTTTACTATTGTCAAGACAATGCTGTACCCACAGTTCATGATCCTTTTCCAGTGTTTCACGAATAGTAGATGGTAGATGCCATTCTCTCCGTTTCTTTCCTGAATGAGCTGATTTGAATTGCTTCACTAAATCATCTCTTCATTCCGTTTCCCATTCCCACGTAATAGGACCTGATGAGTTAACAGTTGCAAGTCTCTGATCTTTCATTGGTATGTAAAAACGTAGATACTCTAACAGGTGATGTATAATCAACCCACTTCGTCTCATATGACTTTCCTCGAATGTGATTGATAAGATGGGAGCTGGATGACATTCATGCTGGGGTTTTTCTGCTAACTTTTCACGATATCTCTCGAAGCATTGATGGATCGTTTCAAGACGCTCAGCGTAGCTCACATACATGTTGATCGATTCTGCTAGCGAGAACGTTAGGGGATACCTTCTGGGCAACGGCCATGTGTCAACAAGTGAGAAACACAATCTATTGCTCGGCTCAGGAAGAAATAGATCAACAGCTTGCAACAGTCCTTCTCGTTCCGTAGCCACTTGCTCGTCATGATTCAACTTTACGTAACTATCATCATGTCAGAAATTGACATTTCAAAATAATTTCGAAAATCCAACAGTGCTCGCATCAAAACTAAAGACGCAAACTCACCGTACTTTCCGTAAATTTATTCTCATTCGTAGATTTTGAACCCTGCGCAGGAACCCCAGTCCATAAGGGGGTCTAACAACTCTCCAACGACTCAACACATATTCGTTATGCTTGTAAAAAATTGGCAGAGCCTCAAAGTATAAGCCACAATCCCCCCTCAAGGCTTTGAGAAAGTTTGGCGGTTTTCCGTGCCAAGAATCGTAAAGGGCGTAGAAGAAGATGATGGCTCGCACTTTCGAGGGAAATTTTCACAATCCATCAGAACGATGTGTTTTTGTACTTTGGGCTCTTTGAATACTTGGAATTCGAGGCGTTGAAATAGGATCCATCTGCCTTCTTCTTTCCACATTGCGTGAAATAGAGAGTCCCATTTTGAATGAAACCAATATGATAAATCTGCAGATACAACTTTGATGCTCGGCAATATAAATAAGTTATGAATGTCTAAAGTTGTAATGTGTCAAAGTTAAAGGATGAGAAAACGAACTTACGAGCAATTCATATCTAAATAGTTGCACTAGTAAATAAGACAGGGAAAAGGCACTACAAAGTTAGGTCAAGCTACCATGAAATAGAAAAGAGCAAGAACGATGGTACAAAGCACGCAAAGATCACAACTTCATTCTCGTCAAAGTTTCAAGAAACCATTCATTAGTATCGCTACATTCATTTCCACACATCCACCATCCAATCCATCATTCATATCCTAGGTACCCATTCTAACCTATAAAACATCATCTTCATCTCCAACTCCTCTTTATAACACCACCTAGCATTTCCCAAAACTTTCTCCGATTCTCCCCCTTCCTTTTCTCTCATATTTGATTATGCTTTTTTGAAACGCCTTTATTTTGAATAAATGCCAAATCAATTAATAACTCTCTGGAAATGCTACGTACAATAATGACATTCATAGCCTGAAAATGGAAATAGAATTAAATTCCAGACATCTGTTTGTAGTGCATACTTCGAATTTGGCAATAAAGCCTTTGTAACTCCAGACCATAACTCCCACGTATCATAACTGATAATGCTTTACCTATTATACGCCCCATATATACACAGTACTCACAATATCTTCCGTACACATGCGTATCTCCAAACTCTGTATCATACCCAGAAACATCTATGCACCATCTCTTCCCCACCAAAGTCAAACACCTCCAACTCCCAACTCAACATCCCCCTCCCCATCAACGAATAATTTCCCCTCTCCTCTTTCCAGGCTCAAACACCAAGTCCTCTAGCAAAACCGTGTCCCCACTCCCCACACTCTCCGCATACACCCTATCCCTCGCCAAACGATCATTCCTCTCACTCTCCTCGAGAAAAACCTCTTCTCCTTTCTCCATCCCCTCATCACTATCTGCACAGTCCCAATTACTCGGAAGTGCAGAATGATACTTATTCCCATTCCGTCTATCGTATTTGACACCTGGTATGCGTCTCTCAGTCGTAGGATGTGTTTCTTCTCTTTCCGAAAGCGAAACTGCAAGTCCATCCGCGAAGGTGACTTGGAAGTTGGTATCGATGTCTACGTCTTTCAGGTTTGAGACATACTGCAAATCGCCCTCTGAACCTCGCTGAGAGGGATTCCATACATTTCTTGCTTCAAGGCCCATTTGAGTGTTGTTCTTAACTTCGCTACGGTATCGATGGGACATTCGAAACCTTGATCGGAAAGCCATTTCGTGAGATGATTTTCTTCTCTTGGTTCATGATGGATTAATGAACCTCTTTCCTGCTCCTCCTCACAGCGTTTCTTCATGCCCAACAGAGTTTCCATTGGAACCGGTCTCCACATCCCCGCATCCTCATCGATATCTGTCTCATCCAACAAGTTAGGTAACTCATCTCCAATCCCCTGTCGAAAAACCTCTCCATTGTTATGTTGGAAAATCTCCATCGGCGGATGATTCGCCCCTGTTCCCGGATGCGGCATTGCGAAAATAGAAGTACAGCATTTCGGACGCACACCATACATACACGAGCGAAGGTGTCGAAATTGCCAGATTCTTCTCGCGTCGTGGGACATGAGATCGCGCTGGCGCATGGCTGCGGCTTCGGCGAGACTGATTTCGATTCTCGCGGGGCTTTTTCCGTGGTTGCCCCATTTGAGAACGCGGCCTGCGTCTTTGCCAAGGTGCTGCCAGATCCAAGATGACTTGTGGCCGGTTGAGGGGGATTCCAGATATCCAGGGGTGCCGAAGACGGAATCGAATTGATGGATTGTCCATTCGACAGTATGACTATATTTTTCAATCATGTAAGCTGCCCATGTGAATTTTAGGGTTAGGAGAGAAGGACAAGAATCGGAGGGACCGATGAGATCGCAGATTAGTGCAAGCCATTGGGTGCGACAGCCGCTGTTGATTGTTGGTTCGACGTGGAGATATGTAAGGTTTTGGGCCATGCGGATGATTCGGGCTGTGCGGTCGAAGGTTGGGGAGGTGGAGGGGAGACTGTGGGTTTGTTATTTCATGCTCGAAATTGTACCTACTGAAAAGAATGGAGATAAAGTGAAAGAAAAGATGTAGAAAATACATACCCATCAATAGGACCCGAAGTCGAAGTCGAGAGCGGAACTTCAACATGTACCCTCCGGAACGTCGACGCCAACGACACAACTCTTATATCCATAAATCTGACTCCATCATTCTGAACAAAATATTTCCCAAGCCAGTAATTTTTATAACTCAAGGAAAATGTACTGGTTTTGTAAAAAATAATTAGCGCTTCTTTATAAAGTCCCACATCTGCGCGTAATGCGGCTAGGAATGTTCGAGCCGTTCGTCGACTATCGGTTTCTTCCCATGTACCTTGGAGTAGGAGACAATAGATCATATGGCGAAGCTCGATTGGAAAGGTGCGAAGAGATTTAGGAGATGTTTTTTCTATAAAGGAAGCCATCTTTGCTGTTGTGAAGAGTGCCATAACTAAAATGTTGTGGTTGACGTGAAATGGAAATATTTGATGGTTAATATATTGTTGATTTCGAGGGCAGAAACAAAGGTCATCGTGGGTACGGTCGGGAAGAGAATAGGCAGTTGGACCTGGTTATAAGCCGAGCCAGTGACAAAATTGCTCATACTAAAAATGATAAAAAATCCAGAAGTGAATAAGTGAGTGAGTCAAGCGTATATTGAGACGACAACAGTCGAGGCGATAGTGAAAGATGTAGTATTAAAGCGGCTTGAATAGCCTTATGATAGGTGATAATTAGAAGAGAACACAATCAACTTAGATTGTGTTTATGTAAATGTCATTCATTACTCTCCCTTGACTTATTGTGCCTTCTTGATATTTGCAACCTTTCCCTTTGACACTTTATTATATCCTTGCCCTCTCCAAACCCTCAATAAACACCATACAATCCATAAAAAGCCCAATGAAACCACGCTAGCGGTTCCAATCTCAACCCAACTACTCTTATTTAAATCTAATACTGGAACAGTAACTGCGTTCATCAATCTACCATCAGGTACAGCTACTGGCGAGACATGATAGAACATAGTTTGTGGCCCAAATAGACCATCATAACCTAAATTGACCCTATCAAAAGGGTTACCCGAGAATTTGCTACCTTCATCTGCTGTACATGCCCAGAAGACTACAGGGTTAGGAGTCTCTAATGATGTATATCCATTTGTGTTGTTGGTAGGAGATAGATATCGCAAATGAAGAGGAATTTCTGCTGTGAAAGATTGGGTAGACTCAGGTGGTGCGAGTTCAAGTAAAAGAGTAGAACCCCAGATGTTCATTGCATAGTCTGGAGCTTCAAGATCGACTGGGGATGTAACGTGACGAAGAGCTTTTAGGTTCTTAGATGCAAGGAAAAGAGGATCTGATAACTGATATTTATCAGGAAAGACGGTACGAGGTAAAGTTAGATGTGTGTGTAATGAACATTCTCGGTCTGAAACAGGTGGTTCGCTGGAGCTGAGCATGAGTTGTAAAGTAGGATGTAGACCAGAGGGTTCCATGAAGGAAGAAGTGAAGAATGTGTCTGTCGTATGGTGTCTAGCTGGGAAAGCGAACAATGTAGGAGATGGCTTCGAATCCTCGCCAACTACAGTTAAAAAGCCACCTAATGAGAGTTCTTCAGGCTGTAAAGGTGTTTCGACTGAAAGTATACCGACCTCTAAACGATGATTTGAGGCTGTGTTTGTGACCTCAAGCTCCCAGGTTTGAGGTTCCCAAAATGCAACTATATTCAGCGCATGAGATATTGTGTCAAAATCTATGTCAACATAAGATGCATAGTCAAGACGACCGGCTCTTGAACGGCAATCTTTATCTGATTTACCGCAAACAGTTTGCTGTATATATTCAATGAGTGTTGTGAGATCCTCAAGGGGTTGATAATACTGTGTTGCGGCATTTGAAGCAAATCGTTCCACAGATAATTTGGTAAAAGACTCCTATAATTATTTAGATAATCTACCATAGTCATTGGCAAAGTAGAGCTTACTTTAGGAGATACACAATCAAGATTCCCAAATACTTTCTTCAAAGCAGGACATAAAAGATCACTACACAATTTTAGCACATATGATGGGTGGACAATGTAAACAAACATACGGGCTTTTGCTGTTTCGCTGCGGACTGTAAAACACGTGAAGACCTGGAGAAAGTCTTGACAATAGAGGCGAAGCTGCGTCATATTGATTTGGACTGACCCATCGAATATGAAGTTCATGGGATGCTTTTAATACTCCATATATCTCCTCAGGAAGCTCGCTAAAGCTAAAGGTAACTCGATCCTCTCTCGCAGCTTTCACCCGTCCTGCTGTGAGAGAGTCTTGAGAAACTTTGATGAATTGAGGGTCAACTGCATCTTGAGGCTGTTGAAGGAAAGTTATTCTTTGCCGCATGATGATTGATGAGATTTGTGTGTATGTTTTGGGACTTGAAGTGAGGTCTAATAAATATTGAATTTATATACTCGGATTAGGTCTCATATATGTTGAGTTGGCAAGTGCATTCATTCATGTGATTCAATGTGTTTCGGCAGTATAGGAACCCTGTTGGGCGGTGAGCCATCTTAGCGCAAGGCTGATTGATATCATAACTTCCGCCACCAAGAAACCTAGGTAACTTGCTCATTACACTTGCCTTGAATGAATATCTATGTTGATGATCTGTCCTTTCTTACGAGGATTTACTTAATCTCGCATCGCTTGATACCGTACTTCCTTCTTCAAATACCATGAGAAACAACTTTCAAAAGCAACCAAATAATTACAGTAAAAATGCTCTTTTTACCATTTCTTTGCCCGGCTCTGCTCACCCTCCTCACATTTACCCCTCTCACCACGGCCGCCTCCAAATCCAAGAATGCTATCTTACTATCAAAAGTAAAAACTCTCACTCTACGCGATAATGCCCAAACATCTCATCGACGAGTTTCAGCTGTTCCACAGCTATCATGTAGCGGCCCTGGATGTCGACATTACAACGTTGACGTCATGCGTTGTACCAACCAAGGATCCGATTATTCTTCCGAAGATATTCAATGGTCCTGCACTGCGAATCTTCCCGAGGAGTTCAAGCTAGGAAGTACGGATGTTATATGTGAGGGATATGATAGCAAGGATGATGAATACGTGTTGAAGGGCAGTTGTGCTGTGGAATACAGATTGTTATTGACGGAGGAGGGCGAAGCAAAGTATGGAAGGAGCTTTTGGGACGGTGGAAGTGGAGATAGCTCTGTAGAGAAGGGAATGGGTTTATTATTCTGGTTGATATTCGTGGGAGTTTTGGGATGGATTCTTTACTCGATGGTTCAAAATTGGAGACAAGGACCCGCTAATGGCCAAGCGGGAAGAGCCGGGGGAGGTGGGGGTTTTGGAGGATGGGGAGGAGGAGGACCAGGAGGACCAGGCGATGACGATCCCCCACCACCTTATCCAGGAACTGGAAAACGATCCACAAGAAACTATGGTGCTACTGAACAAGCTTGGAGGCCTGGATTTTGGTCTGGTGCGGCGGCAGGTGCTGCTGGTGGTTATTTTGCAGGAAACAGGGCGAATAGACAACAGAATCAAGGGGGTAGTAGCTGGGGCAGCGGAGGTGGAAGTGGCTTGGGGTGGAGGTCTAGATCTGGAAGCTCGAGCGCAAGCTCTCCCTCTACCAATACTCGGTCAAATACTGGATTCGGCTCTACATCGAGAAGATAGTTACCCTAGCAATCTGGACGAGACACCTCACCTTTAATCGCCCTACTCGCCGGTGAAAGGAAATGATTGAAGAATAGTGTGATGAAGGCTGGCGTCTTATACGGTAGAGCTATCCAAATTTTACCTCTTCGGAAAGTATCATGATTACTTTTGACTCCACAGTCTCCTATCATTCATCCAATTCCGACCGCGCTAGATATACAATGCAACTGATTGACTGCAATGATAATTCATTTTGAAAACATAGTTATTTCTTTCTATTAGAGCTATTTGATCTGCCAACTCTGCAGTTTTCCCACTGCATCAATAACCAAGGGAAAGAGCATACCCCTGCCTTGGTCAATCGATTTGCTATCTTAAAATACAAAGTCCATCGCTGTCTGCTTCTATTTCAGGGATTTTCCGATTGAAAGAAGAAAAAAGGACTTCATCACATATAATGTGAGGGCGCGAAAAAATGGTATACATGCGGACAAATTCCTTTACATTCAAGCAAAAGCCAGTCATCGCTCAAATGTGCAGTGCGGCACTTCGTCACACTTCCTGAAACAAAAATCATACAACTTCCCAATAACCTAAATTAAATCCTTGTCTTGAATTCGAAACCATCATATTACATATGAGCGGTCATGACATCCAATTTGTCGAAAGGTTTAGCGCAATTGGGACACTTTCTCATACGGTTGGAGATTCGATCATCCACGCATGAATTGCAGAAGAGATGCCCGCACGTCTTTAAAACAGTGTTCTTGAAGTTTGCACGACAAACGGTACACAATGCAAGAGTCTATATTGTGTTAGTAACAGATCACGATAAACAACAATGATTGAGACCTACTCTGAGCATTTCCTCCTCACCAGATTGATTGCTCAAGCTCTTTTGTTTCCATGTATCTCGATCTTTTTGAACCTGTTCACATCGAACCCGAAGTTGTTCATTCTCTAGCTCCACCGCGTGAATCTTTTGTTTGGTACCAGAGTTCGCGGAATCCTTGGATTTAAGAAGGTTGGTCAATTCTGCTGCTTGGTTCTTTAGGCTTTCACATTTGCTTGTGGCCTCTCTACTCGATGCCTCTAACTTCTTGTTCTCAGCCAAGATAGAGGCATTGGACTGTCTCATATCACTGAGTTGCTTCTCCAAATTGCTCAACAAACTTCGATCAGATGTCTCTACATCCTTGAGTTGGGAGATTATCTCGGAACTTTTAGCGTTTTGATTCTTCAAAGTTCGAACTTCCTGGAGGCGAATATCCATATCCTTTCGGGCCGCGAAATATTTTTGATCAGCCTTGCTCTTTTCGGCAGCCAAAACCGATACCTTTTCTTCGAGAGCCGCGAAGTCCATTACTTTCTTGCTCGTCAGGGCCTGGACTCGCTTGTACGCGGACTGGAGGGCAGGTAATTCTTTGTTGATCGAGTCATAACCTTGTTGAAGAAGATCATACTTGACACGCAATTCTTCAAGGTTTAATGAATCTATCTCTGGTCCTGGTGTGGGTTGGCATGATTGCTCGGCGATCTGTCTCAGACGTTCGACTTCAAGTTCAAGGGATGTGATACGATCATCCTTTGCTCCAACCAATTCTTTCAAATGCTCGATGCCTGCATCATCATGGTCCTGTTTGGCCTTTCGCACGCTAATATCAGCAACCAACTCATCTCGGGTAGAGCGAATTCTCGTCAAATCGGCATCCAGGCGTTGAAGTTGACTTTCTAGTTCACCAGTGGTCGTTTCGGCTTCGTTTTCTATCTGTATACGATATGCAGTCCGTTCGGCTTGTAGTTTCTCGGCTTCCTCTCGCAATTGTATATTAGTGGCTTCGAGATGATTGATACGTTTGATAACATCCTCATGTTGAATACGGAATTGTTTGAAAAGCTCAGTCCGAGCATAGTCGTCGTCCGAAGGTGCTTGCTTGATACTGGCCGCGGTAATTTGTTCTGTTAGTGATTTATTCTCCGCAGCCATGGCTTCAAGTTGCTCCTTTTGCTTCTCGACAACGGCTTGTGCCTCTTTATATGCTGATTGATTGGCTTCCTTGTCTTCTGTTATCCCATTCGTCATTTCAGTGTCCACGCCATTTTCGACTTTCGCGCCATTAGCAGTACTGTGAAATAATGCCTTAGCCTCTTCTTTTCGAACCGTATCACTCCTCAGCCTATCCAAACGTTTTTCGGCTTTAACATAACGCAGCGATGCCAATTCGAGAAGCTCATTCAGTTCTTCTTTCTCGTTGCGGAGTCTGTCTACCGTGACAAGATATTCCTTCTGAGAAGCAAGCATTTTTGTAACCTTTGCTTGAAGATCTTGCAAGTCTGTCGAGGGTTTGCCATGAGCAGCTGCAACTGCAGTAAATATTTTATGTAATTTTGATTTGATTTCTCTGCCTTTTGATGCCAGGTGATCCGAGAAGGCTTTGATACCATGAAATTGTAAAGAAGTCGAGAAAGATACTATCATGCGTCAGCGTTAATTAAAACTACAGCCTGCAAATAACGAACTTTCGGGCTTTTCCGCATTTGGAATGTCATTTTCTGCGAGCAGTGTCACTTCTTCTAATAACTGTTACCCGTAATCAGTTTCGTGTCCCAAATGACTGATAAGGGGGTTATCGTACCTGTGTCCACCAAGCATCAATGATTCTCAGATGATCATCATGATCTGTAGACTTCTTTTGTATTGTCTTCAATTGTGATTCCAAAGTTGCCTTCTCTCGTTTGTACTCGAGCATTTGTCGATAGATCGCATCTTTTTGGTATTTCTATAACGTGACATATCAGCCTGCCATTCCAGCCAGTTTATTCCTTATTCGTAAAAGGGAAGGTGTATTGACTACATTGATGCGATGTATTGTGGGAGTGCGGGTATAGGCGTGAAGGTATGCAAGCTATCCATGCTGTTCACAGCAAGCTGCGCATTAGCAACAGCCACACAGATTTCAAGAGCAATCCCTAGACTCTTGTATGACGTTGATAGATGAGAGAATCCGACAAAATATTGATGCAGAGCGTTTATGCGAAAGGAGATATGTCATGAGACTGATTACATACCTCAATATCTTCAGACCAAGGCGCGGTATTTTCAGAATCTGCAGAGGCCTTTCCAGCACCGTTGGTGGCTTGTCTCTTGGTAGGGGGTGCGAGATCATCAGTACTTTGGCCAGCTGCCCTCTTCCTGTCCTCCATCTTGATGAAGGAAGGGAGAGATGGAGCTGATGCGGCGACAGGCGTCATCAGATTGAAGAAGGTGAATAGTTCATAAGATCAAACACGATAGCGGATTCGACCAGATATGGGTATAGCGCAATAATAGGTAGTATCGAATGTTTCCAAATGTGTGGTTTGATTGACCTTGTATCGTCGTTACGGGTTGTAAGGTTGAGAAAGTAAATGGAGGTAAAGGCGAAAGAAGTGAGAAGTTGCAAGCCGCCAATTCCAAAATGGACTAGCGTCAGAATTTAGTCAGAGCGGGAACCGGCTCCAGGTCAATGGAAATAATTATTTCAACCACACTCAGCATACCTACGGGTACTTTCAAAGGATTCTCATTGTTCAATCAAAGAGAAGGCCATATTTAATTTTCCCTTATAATACTTATTCGACATATGAGCAATCAGTACCTTTGAAAGATAAACAAAATTATACCGCGACTCGAGCTACATCCTTTGGATCTCGCCCATCGGGCGCAATAAATTTCGTCAAAATGTCTTCCATGCTTAGAAAAGGTGGAAAGTCGTTCAAACCAAGTGCTCGCCCTCGACCAAATCCTACCAGACCATCTTCGTCGCAACCTGCAGCAAGACCAAGTTCCGAAACTCAATCACAAGCACCAGTATCTGCGACCCAACCATCCATCCCTACACCCACATTGACTGAAGATGTTGTGGAGAGAGAACCACCCCAAACTATAATTTCGGAACCAATTCAAGTCACCCCTCAATTACAACATGCTCCGCCAGTTCAACCTCAGATACCAATCATCGCCTCGAACGATGACACTTCCGCGACCATTAACAATACAGCCAAAAGAAAAGTTAGAGAAGATGATGTCGAAGGCACCCTTCCAGTTGAGCGACCACCTACAAAAGTCCAAAAGTTGACCCCTCCCTCGGATGAGGTGCAACATTCCGGAACCAATGCCCCATTACAAACTGTTCCAACTGCGTCTATGACTGTACCCAAAGAAGTGCCGGCACCTTCAAATAACCAAATTTTAGCAAAGCCAAGTCGCAATGAACAAGAAGTTGTAGACAACGAAGAATTCCCTCCAATTAGCCATATAACTACGAACAATGCTATAACCGCAAAAGCCATTCCAGCAAACCAATCTCAACCTTCGAATAATTCTATACCTGCAATTTCTACAGAAGTCCCGCGAATAAATACCACAATCGGCAGAACACGAGCACCTGCGTCTACTCCCACACAAGTAATCGATGGAAATTTACAAACCCCACCCGCATCACTCGAGGATGCCGATTTATCTGGAATGGGGGCGGGTGAGGCGAGTCAGACGTCTCATCTAGTCTCTACAGTAACACCAACTTCCGAAGAGACACCTACTCCAGTTGGCGGAGAAGCAGCGCCAGCTGTCAAAAAGCCGAGAAAGAAGGCAGCGCCAAGGAAGAAGAAGGTCCAGGTCGAAGATGGCGACGAAGCTAGAACTGAAGTCGAAATCCAATTGAATAGGCCCCGTAAGACTGGAGGATCGACTCGAGAACGCAGGAGCAAGGACGGTGAGGCACCAAAGAAGAGAAGAGATCGAGAAGGCACTCCAGAAGATGCGGAGAATGAAGTCATCGAACCTACGGTTATGAAAATGGCAGATCTTTGTAAAGATATTCGGATTGGCAAGAAGTTTAGTAGACATGACGAACTCAAGCTAAGGCATGCCCGAAAGAAGATTGATGCGCAATTGGCCGAACATCCCGAACTTGCAGGTCTAATCAATAATGCGCCATCTGAGAATAACGCTGAGCCTGTTGAAGCGCCAGCTGCTGTCGTAAACAATAACGGATTACAAATGCGAGTTATAGACGGACAAATTGTACTAGACGACCAATCTATGCAAGTCGATCGACATAGGCAAGCACGAAATCCGGGTCAAGTGCTGGAAGAGATAGAAGAAAACGAATTCACAAGAGTGGTGAATTCCGGGCAATACATGAAGCGTTCCGCAGCTGTGCGATGGGATTCAACTTCGAACGAATTGTTCTATCAGGGTCTTCGACAATTTGGTACAGCATTTGAAATGATTGCTGCGATGTTCCCAGACCGCAATAGAAGACAAATCAAATTAAAATTTGTACGAGAAGAACGCCAAAATCCAGCTAAAGTTGATCGAGCTCTCAAAGGGAAGACAGACGAGATTGATTTCGAAGAGTACACTCAGCTTACAGGTCAGAAATTCGAGGATTCAGAAGAGATCAAAGCAGAGCAACAGCGACTCGAAGATGAGCACAATGCGGAGCAAGAGAAAGTTGAAGCTGCCAAAGCGGCGGCTGATAAGAGAAAGAAAGAAGCTATTTCCAAAGCCGGAAGAAGAGGCAATGGCGGTGCTAGTGATGGTGATGGTGAAGATGGAATAGAGTCACAAAAGGAGAACGCCGGTGCTGTTTTGGTCGGGATGGGAAGGAAAAAGCCAGCCAAGTCTAAGAAGTCTAACAAAGCTTCTATGCAAGGTGGTGGGGAGGAAATAGAAATCCTTGGTGAAGTATAATGGGCTGGGTTAAGTTCGATTGGGCGTTTGAAGGGTTAGATCAGGGACTGGATGTTCGATTTGCTTGCTGTACTCACGATAAATGAATGGCTGGATGGAGTTTGTTTGGTTCTTATACCCGATTTGCATTATCATACAAACTATAGAAGGGGAGGTCCTTCGGTCATAGGTCTATGGGACAGATCGGATCACTATGACTTTCTAAAGATAAATCAATGAAGCAACGAAACTATGGAGATATTTTTGCCAAAATTCCATAATCCATAGTTGACTCTGAAGTAGCCGCATTGTCTATGCCATCCATTTACTTTGAATACCACGTAAACCACCCACTAAGTAAACCTAAAAAATCCATTTCCCTACCCCTCCAATCCTCTCAGAACCCAATCTCCCCAGAATCTCACTCCTTCTTAATCAACTCCTCAAAGAGCGGTTTTAAAGCCAACGCACTCTCCTTGGGTTCTCGTCTCTGGCCCCCCTCATAATCCACATACGTAACACCAAATCTGGTCTCGTAGCCCTCGGCCCACTCGAAATTATCCATCAAACTCCATCCCAAGTAGCCGCGCACATCGGCGCCCTTTTCAACTGCGGATGCCATGGCGCGGATGTAGTCGCGGAAATAGTCGGCGCGGAATGTGTCTTTCAGGATGTCGGGGTAGGGGATGTCGTTTTCGCGGAGCAGCGAGGTGCCGTTTTCGGTTATGTAGACTGAGAAGGGGGATGGATTAGTGGGGGGAGGTATGAGAGGGGATTGGCTTATGTGAGACAGGCGGAAGGAGAAGGGGGGAGGGGGGGGGGGGGGCTTACTGGTAGGGAACCCATATCTCTTTGAAATCCACAAGATCAAATCATGGAAACCCTGGGGATTAGGTCTCAACCAAACACTCTGGGTCTCTGGACCGATATTCTCTCCCTGTTTGTTCTCAAACAGCAATTCCAAATTCCCCGAGAAATCATTTTCATCCGGCTCCGTAGTCTTATGTCTGATGTAATTAGCAGTGTAGTGGTTCATTCCGTAGAAATCATTCGAGCCTTTCACCAATGCGATTTCGTCGTCGGTGAAAGTAGGGAGACGGTCTCCGAGTTGGACGCGCATGGAATCTGGATATTTGCCGTGGTAGATGGGGTCTGCAAACCAGGAAATGCTGAATTCGAGTTTGCGTTCGGCGGCTTCGACGTCTTTGGGATCGGAAGCATCCCAGGGGTAAACGCCATCACCTGGGGGAAAGTTAGTATGCTACTGGAGTAGGATTGGGGTAGATTAGGTGTGGGGATGTATGTACCATTGAGAGTAATTCCGATTTGTCCACCATCTTTAGCTTTGAATTCTTCCCGGTAGATTTTAACGGCTGCGCCGTGAGCTATGAGGAGGTTGTGTCCTACTGTCCATGGCTCTCTGCTACTATCTCCCACATCACTCTTCGATCTATCACTCGTATGTCCGGGAGCGAACAATCCCGTGCTGTATCCTAAGATAGAGGAGCACCACGGTTCGTTAAACGTGATCCAATTCTTAACTCTTGGAATTGCCTCGAATAATACTCTTGCATAGTGAGCATAATCCTTAACAAACTCTTCTTTGTTCAACAATCCCCCGTATCGTTTATCCAGGTTATCTGGTAAATCCCAATGGAACAGCGTTACGAAAGGGGTGATTCCCTCTTTGAGCAAATCATCCACCAACTTGGTGTAATAAGCGATACCCTTCTTATTTACCGGATCATTGCGACCACCTAGGGGAATGATACGAGACCAGGAGATAGAGAACCGATAGGCTTTTGCACCAGTGAGTTTGAGAAGCGCAATGTCTTCGGTAACTCGGTGGTAGGAGTCACATGCCACGTCTCCGGAACTACCATCAGCAATTTTGCCGGGGATTTTGCAAAAAGTGTCCCAGATAGAAGGGCCACGGCCATCTTCTTCTGGTGCTCCTTCGATTTGGTAACTAGTATGGTGTCAGTAGGAGATATGAGTGTTGATCTAAGAATGATATACCTCGCAGTAGCGAAGCCCCATGTGAAATCCTTGGGTAGAACTGCTTTGCCCATATTGCTCTCTTTCAAATTCGGTATACTTCTGGTAAAGACAAAAGATACTAAGTACTTATAGTATCAAAATGTAGAATTAGTTGTTGTGAGAAGGGGATCTACTCGCATATAAGTAGAAATAGAGCGGCTAATTGTAAATTAGAATTGTGTCATAACAATCAAACGGAACTAACTCGTATCCCACCCCTCGGACCGTACAGACCGTGATATAATCATTTCCTAATTGAGTGACTTTGATATCTTCCGCCCCACCAGATTATGGCGGGGTAGCAAATGTTTGAACCGGTTAGACGGGACGAAATTCCGGCTGAATTCAATTGATCCAGTTCACGGGATTTGGTGTCGTTTTCGTGCCTGTGATTAGCTCGTGTGTATACATACATAGATGAATCTCGGATGTCAAGCGGATAGATGTGATAGAAACATCATAATTGATTGCAAAGAGCTATTTGCATTTCTTGGTATGGTAATCTTACATGTACAGTATTGGCACAGCCCATTATGTCATTTCTTAACAAACCCCCGAACTCCCGTTTGACATGAGAAGATAACTCTTCAGAGATTGTTGTAAGGATCGACAACGCTGTTGCGAACTTGCAAAGCTCTCGTTTTGTGTCCATCCCAAACCCAAATCTCCATAAACGACATCATTTCTTGACTACAACCCACGATACTAACCAAAATCAAACCCTTACGGTCGTACTTTACTAATTACCCCAGAGACATAAACTTGCAGATGCTATCCATCTATTGTAGCCCCTCCATGCGAGAACCTTCACCTGGACTCGTAGCATCCAACTTTCTCTTTCCAGTTATAGGTAGCTGCACATCGTCTTCTTCACCAGTCCACTCTACAATCTCCCACTCTACCTTGATTTGACCATCGTCGGCAGTTCTTCTTCCTTTGCTTGTTTTCATTTTACCCAGTCGGCTTCCTTCAACCAATGTCTCAAACCACGGTAGGCCTTGTTCTCCTCTGCCGTCGTTCTCAGAGTGTGGTATGACAGTCTCGATAGTTTGTTTATCATTCTGTGCATCCTCGAGTGCTTCTTTAGGAAGTAGGCCTAATTCTTCGAGATCTCGCAGATCCGAAGAGGCCAATGATCCCAAAGTTAACGAAATATAATCTGCATGGTCTGCCGGTTCTTCCGTCCAAAAGGAGAGGGGTGTTCCACAAAAGCCACAGAAATGTCGTTTTGCATGTTGTTCGGATGGAGGAGTGTAAGATCGTCGAATTTTGTTGTGCGATTCATCATCGAAAAAGGCGTACGTCGTTGAGTGATACCAAGCTAATGGCACACGAAGCCATGCTGAGAGGGGAGCAGCTTGTGATCGTCCTAGGTTTCTGATATTAGCAATCGCCTTTTTGGTAAGGCAAGGAAGGGGATATCTCCAATTTACGTACGATGAACACTACTGCTATCAAAAAAGACTTGTGCGCCATTTGCTGAGTTTTGTGGGATTTGGATTGTGTATTTGTTGCGACCACAAGAACAGCCACCGTTAAGCTCACTCATGCTGCCGAATCTGAAGCTACCCAGGTAAGGACTCAAATTAGAAATTCAGATCAGACGTCGGCGAGTCTTGACCAGTTATTTAAAAATTGTACATTGATGAAGACGTTGCTTTTTATTGTATCAAGAGGAAGAAAGTTTAATCTGTTGTCCCGTGAATTTTAGAGTTGTATTAAAATTGTGAAATGTAATTGGTTTGTTGTTGGAAACATCTAGATTATTCGTAATGTTTCCTTCCTTCACCTCACCACCTAACTCTATGACATCGCTATGCAAGGTTTCTCCACAACAATCACACATCACATCACAACGACAACGACAACGACAACATTGACAACAACATGAATACTCGATTGTGTGGTAATATCTTTCCTACTATTTTCGTATTCTAAATTTCTCTATTAACAAAAACTGAAAACGGATAAAGATCGTCATGTGAAAGTAATATTGAATCTCACGTGAGTTTCTAGACCACATGTCTTAACCATCCACCATACGCTGTCCACATGCATGCTAAATTCCCATCAAAATTCAACGCCCCTGTCAAAACACCATCCAAAACACCAATCTTCATTTATTGATTCGCGCACTCTTGTGGACTCGCCTGCATGCAAAATGGTAAACGAATGTCAACTAAACAGCCCCAAAGTTATCCGCGGCGGGTTCTCAGGTCCAAGTCAATGATGTCGTCGGTTATCAGCTCGATCGCCGTCACATGATTCGAGATTTCCACCTTTGAAGGTTCGTCAGAGTCTTGCAATACCTGGAGCTGTTGATACATCTCCATTAGGTCTTTGCGCTGGGATGCCGAGCTTTCTGTCCTTCGGTGGGCTCGATTAGCAGCAAGGATGTTCGAAAGCCGAATCTCAATAGGATCGAAGTACCGATGGCGGTCTGGGTAACAGCTATATAGCTCTTTGAATACTCTTCTAGTAATTTCCAGACAATCTGCCGGGATATACTGAAGCTTGAAGAGAGATTCGTCTGCTATGATGTTGCCATAATGGGCTGCCAGATTCCCCTCGTTTCGCAGCTCGCGGTTGAGCTCAGGGCGATCCCTTTTATTGATGACGAACTCTTTGGCTTGATCGAGGAATCTTAACCTAACAGCAGCACCCACCAGCATCAGCGGTTTTCTAAGATTTAGATCTTGCACCAGCTCGTTGACATTCAATTGAAGGTTTGCTTTCTCCCCTTCAGCCTCCTCAATCTTAGCTTGAAGTCTCATGTTTTCTTCCTTTGCTTCGAAGTAGTCCTTGGCATCGACTGCAAGCTCCAGCTGGTGTATAAGGTTGTGTTTTGATCTTTGGTGCATTACGCACTTCTCCGTCTCGTAATCCAAGTCATGCAACAATCTTGTATTGTCGTGCTTGAGAGTGGAGTTCGTCTCGGAAAGAGCTGTTACCTCTGTCTTCAATTGAGCATTCTCTTGCTCCTTTTCAGATAGCTTCCTGCGGAGTTCATCCAATTCTTCCTCGTGTTGATCTTTCTGGCTCTCCAGTTCTTGATCTTGATCTCCAAGTTGTTGGGCAACACTCTTCTTGAGTGCCTTCACTTCCTGTCGAATAGCAGCAAAATTTCCTGCTGCCGTCTGGAGACGGAGAAATTTTGCGGCAGCTTCGCGGTTGGAAGGATCGAGTTTCTGCTCTAACCCGGCGAACAAGGTATTTGTCTTCCACCATGCCATTGCCATTGTTGCAGCACTCTCTGAGCCGGAACCATCGCGAGCTTGTCTGTGACTTGCGTTCAGTCCGGAACCAGGAGTCTTGACGCTGGAATTCTTCTTAATTTCACGCCCAACGTTGGATTGGAAGGGCAGCATCTCCGAAAGTTCATTGATATGCTACAACGTTTATTGGAGTTGCTTAGGTGTTGCTGAATCTGGCCTGATGAGTAATTATCGAGGTACTTGATTCTTTCCCTACGATATTTGTATAGAATTGTTATGAATTACAAGAACAATATGTTCAAGAAGAAAGCTCTATGTTAATCGCGATATCAAAGATCATGAAATACTGTGTATTACACAGAAGGAATAGATGCTACAGACAGCATCTTATAAATAAAAGGGAATCCAATATACGGCTGCTATTACAGAATTCGAAGAACACTAGTACCTACATTTATGTTGGTACGGTGCTGTCAGTCAGTCAAGTTTCATCTTCAGACTCTCGTCTAATTGTTCGCTTGGCTGAACGTCACCCCTTTCTCTCTGCTTCGGTTGCTTAGGTGACTAGATAGAGCGGTAAAGTACACTATTCGGCAAGATACATATATATATCATGAACCGATCATAGTCAGATCATTAAATGAATCGGTGATTATCACTTGTCTCTTGAGGCATTTTGTTCGGCTAGTCTCTGATTCCATCTTCTGTTCTGGTTTCATCCCGTCACTCTCGCGACTCAGTCCTTGTAGAATACTAATGCGCCCTAGCCCCACTTCTTCGAAGGAAGGTCAAGTAGGCCTTCAAGGACTAATTTTAATTGAATCAACTGGCCCTTGGGTGAAGCTGGATATCGAGTAAATAGCCAATAATGCGATATTTTTGCCGTACGAAACTTCTGAACTTGGAGTTCACAACAGTTGTCGTATACTATACAATGATTTATTCAGAATTATCACGCAATCTCACGCCAAGCTCTTCAAACAGTATTCTTAAATGTATTGGGCGAGACAACCAAATGACCACGTGAGGTCTGGGATAGAGGGGTAAAATGTGAATTATCTCATGCGGATGTAATGACGGAGATCTGAAATTGTGGAGTCACAATCGGAGTATATGGATGTTTTGAGTATTATCAAGATTTTCTGCTGCTCCTTTCGTTGGAATAGATGTCGAGAATGGCAAGATTCTACGATCTTATAATCTAAGGCCTTGTCGAGAAGAGAGAAAGTATCTTAGACTTGACGAACAATGCACGCATTCCACAGACGACAATTTTCAAGATATTTATAAAATCACCGGATACACCCCGGTGCGAAATCTGATCTCATGTCTATCCACGAACATCTCTATTCAATGCATAACATTTTCCTATCCGCAATAACAGGTTCATCTCATGCTATCTACTCTGACATATATACATAAAATCTGTAGCGAGCTTGCAGTCCCAAACGCAAACATCATCCTCAATCATCCTGGGAGTAGAATTGCGTGTTCATGATTGCTCTGGTCATACTCTATACAGAATGTGTTGATCAATCACACATGATTCCCCTACCCGTATTGTTATGCTGATCACAGGAGTATCCCTAACTCAAGTCTTGTGTTTAACTCCATATATTCCGTCCCGCAACGCAGTTCCAGTTCTAACTTTCTCCACTTGGTATGGTTATCTCGACACTTGTATCCTATGAGAAAAGCGAGTTGTGGGGGTCTCCTTATCTGCGACGACGACTGGAGCGTTCTAAGTCCACTATCTCATCGGTTAAACTTTCCAGTTCTTCAATCAAGACCATTTTTTTGTTGGCCGGGCCGTGTAGAATTCTATTCCAGACCACGCGCCACTCCTCACGCAGAGGCGCCGATACACTGGATTCTTTTATTGTAGACAATGTTGCTTCGCAGTCAATTTGTCTTTCGGAGATTCTGTCATAGAATGGGTAGTCGCTTGATTCATGGCTGTACAACTTTTGGAAGATCTCCTCGGCCTCTTCTTCGTACTCCTCCGGGATAAGTTTACCCTTGAATAATGCCGCATCTGTAGCCGCATTACCCCTATGAGCAGCAACATTACCATTAGTTCTTAAAGCCATGTCTGCCTCACATCGGGAGATATTGAGTGCTGTCTCTCGTGCTTGGTCCAGAAAACGTAATCGTATATCCGCTCCTATCTTCGCCAATGGCTCTCTGATATCATGTGCCTTCTTCAATTCCTGGTAGCTCTGTCGTACAGCATCACGGCTAGATAATATACTCGCATACTTAGCTGTCATCTTCTCGAGGCTTGCCTCAACACTTTCCAATTCGTCTCGAAGAGCGTTTCGCTTTTTTTTGTAGTACTCCGCTTCTCCTTTGTACTCTTCGCGCTCGCGTCGGTATCTAGCTGCATCTTCTTGGAGCTCGTTATGCTCATCCTCGAGAGTGTAATGGTCAGTCTTGAGGTTCTCGTACCTCGTTTCTAGCTGTTGCAAGCGATTGGAAGTCGAGGCTGTCCGGGACTGCTCCTGCCTGATCCTATGATTTTCAACCCTTAAACTCCTCACTTGTTGCTGAAATGTCGCACTATGTTCTTGTACTACATCTAGTTTGAGTCGGCCGTCTGTGACGTCTTGTGCTGTTAGTCTTAGCGCACGGAATAGAGACTCTGCCGATATTTGAGCATCATTCTTTTGTGTCTCTAAGGTTGAGATTTTCTCCCCAAGTCTCACGACTTCCTCGTTCATTGCCCCCAACTTTAGATCCAACTCTCTTCTCTCCGTTCGAACTGCTGGGTTCTTCTCCCTGACTTTCCGTAAGTCAGTGGATGCTTTCTGTCGTGCTGCCTGCGCTTCCTCGAGATCTAATTTCATCGCTTCCATCTCATTTAGATGACTCTCATTGAGTTGATCCAGTTGCTTTTGCATTTCCAGCCTGTGCTTTTGATTTAGAACTTCGATCTCTGCACGCAAGGAACCAGCTTGTGTCTTCGCAGACTTCAAATCACGCTCTTGTCGGGCCATCTTCTCCATCAATTTGATGCTCGGCTTTGGATCTGGCACTTTTGACTTCTGGATGGTGGTATTGCTCGTCACAGTTTCTGAAGATTGAGAGGCGCACACGAGACATGAATTCTCAAGTGAAGTCGTCGACTTGATCACTTTGATATCCTCGATGACACTTCCACGAGTGACTTGCTCGGCTATATCGCCAGATAATTCCAGCGCAGTCTCCGTACTCTCTGTATTGGTGCAAGATTTTGCCAACTTGACAAGCGTGCGAGAGACTTCCACTTTTCCATCTGAAGCCGTGGGTGTTTCCTCTCGACAAGCTGCCACCACTACTGCGGATGATGCTTGAGATTTCTCCTTCTTCATCTTGGCTTTTCTAGCAATTTCCGCTCTCTCCTTATCTTCACTCGACTGCTTCTTATTCTTCCCCCAACCCGTCGGCAGAAAATCCATATCATCGTCGAGAGAACCTTCACTCCCAGAGTCTGCATCGGAGCCCCATCCAGCGCACTTTTCATCGCAGCTTTCATATTCAATCATGGGCGCATGCAACGGCCATGATTCTTGCTTTTCTTTGACTTGTTGAGGGTTGAGGGATAAATCTGCGGTTTTGCGCTCTAGTATTAGTATGTTGACGTGTTTCACCGAGATATTGGCTTACCTTCGTTTTCCGCCGACGGCGCTCGATCTTCTGCCTTGGAGGCCGGTAGAGAGACGGTTCCTGCTGGAAGTCGGGATGTAGAAGCTGCAGTTGCTTTTTTCTTTTTGGCTGCCATTGCAATGAAACTGATTTCTCAACCTGATTATAATGAGATTCGTGAGTGCAATTCGATTATTTACAAGACGAGGCGCGTTTTTTCAGACACAGTACTCCAGATCGGACGATATCAAACAAAAAATTGAGTAGATGAGATAGGTAGTTACAGCAATTGGAAATTCAGAAAAGATGAATGACTTTGTCGTCTCTGTCGGGGAAAGATTCTAGCTGAAGGTGAAAGAGCGGTATGACTGAGATGTTCCGAAAGTGAGTCGCTTTACTTGTGTATCGGAGAACATATAGATTGGTGCTTATTCAGGAAAAGGAGGTCATTTTTATCATATCCCATCATAGTTCAACGCGTGAGATATATGCTCACTCCTCTGGTGGTCCGGCGTGCACTTGTAAGTATTCCTGAAGGCTTTGAGGACCTGAGAAGTTTGAAGGATATAGAAATAGATTTTTTAATCTTGACTTAAGTTGCATTTTGTACCTTTGAGCACAAAAGTATCACTCAATCTTAAAGGCTCGCCATTCTAGCGGAGTTTCGGGGATGACTAGGAATTGATACATGGAATATCTGCAAATGATACCTTTGAAAAACGGAAGACTTTTAGCAGTCACGTGTGTAGCTATCTCGTTGAAGATCGCATGTATACATTTGATCTGAAATTGGTACATTATAAACATGTTATTACCTACAGCTAGTAGCAAGCTTCCCACTCCGGTATAATAACAATTCATATGACTTTCATACAAGCGCCAAGCAACTATTTCCTGTCTTCTAATGTCATCCACCACACTGCGTGATTTGGCTTGCAACCATATTGTGATCCCCAGTACACATGTATTGAATTTCTCGTGATATTCTCAAACAACCTCCGAGGCATAACTCAGGTCCGGGGAGGGGGGAAGTGTTATAAACTTCAGCTAAATAAATTCGGACAATGTGAAGAAGCGGTCCACTCGGAACTATAAACCAAAGTTAGCCATTATTAAGTGAACATAAGAAGTTCACACTAACTAAGTAGTTGCTGCCCAATCACAAGTGCTTGTAATATCACCAGGATGGCCAATAGCCCAATCGCTAGAGCCTGCTATATCATCAGGCTGGTCAATGGCCCAGTCGCTAGAGCCTGTCATATCACCAGGCTCTCTAACGTCCCAACCCAAGCCCCTCGTATGACTCGTTCCTCTTTCATCCTATATATATAATCAGTCTGTGGTCACAATGATTCAGCCAGCATATACTCACAATAGTATCCTCGACATAACCACGATATCCAATGCTTCTATCAATCCTTACAATGTGTTCCTCAAGATCTTTTAATTGAGATAGCCAGCCTGTTACCTCCTCATTTGCATCGAATACATCTTCTTGGGGATTTGCGTTCCAACAAGTCATAATAGAAGAGAAAAATTACTCTGCTTCTGTGCGAAGCTCTTGAGAAGTGTTACTATCATTGATGGCTTGAACAGTTTGGATACTAGCTTTACTGTCTATTGCCTGGCGTAATTTGTAGGGGTGTTTCATGACATTTGCGTATGAATCAACACGGTAGATATTGCTGTAAAGAGCTTCATTGGTGGACCCTGATAGATAGAAAAGTTTGAAAAGAGCTGCGTCAGTCAAGCAATATGCTCGGTGGCAGCGATCGTTTCCCTCTTTAACAATCTTGTAATCGGGACGATTGGATATCTCATCCGATGGGACTGTATATTTAGCTTGCTCAAAAAACCTTTTTCTGACTGCCACTCCGACCTCGATAAGAGGCTCTAGTACGGCACGCTCCTCCTCAAGCACTTCGACTTTTTCTTGTAGCTCTTGTATCCTGGAACTGAACCGCTTGGTCTTTGATTGCTCTTCACAAAGCGCTTCTTCGATCTTGGCAGTTTGGCGCAATTCTCCTGTCGCTGAGTTCCTAAGTAGTGCTTCTTTTCTTTTAAGAAGCTTGCTATTATCTTGCGTCAAACTGTATACTTCATCCTTAAGCTCGCTTATCGTCGACTCTAGGACGCCGAATTTCTTCTGCATGACTTCCTTTTCTCTATTTATAGCGCGAACTCCAGGGGAACGCTTCTTGATATTTAAAGACTTCTCAAGCTCTCTTATTCGATCCTTGAGATCAAATGTCTCTGCTTCGAACAAGATGGCGGATTTCTCCATTTCCAGCAAAGACGCTAGGCTCTTTCTGTTAGCTTCCGCTGCCTGATGAAGCTGGTCCCAATACCATTGACATCGTGTGCGAAGGATGGCATTGCTCACCCGAATCTTCTTCATGACCTTGCACAGCTTCTTCGCACCCTCTGACATGTATGGGTAATTTGTGATGTCTCAAGATGATTTGTCTTGCAGGGTCTTGAACACAAATTCGAGCCTGGTAGAAGGCTTATCTTCATCTTCTTCTTCCTCTCTTCTGTTGACTATATTATAAGGCTTGGGTATCTTCTCATAAGCTATGATGTGGCACTGATTGCGTATTATAAATTCCAACTCCTCCGCATGTCCAGCTACAACTTCCGGTAGTGATCGCGATTCTTCCTTTACTGATTTAGATTTCAGCAACTGAATTTCCGCCCGCAATTCAGTCACTTCTTGGTCAAGAGTCGATGACTTCTCACACAAGATTGAGTTTTCTTTCCGAAGCTTCTCCAGCTCTTTGTTGCGGTCCGCCTTCAGATTTTTGTTTTCAAACTTGATTGCTTCGTATTTTTTTGTGAGATCCGCCAAATTCTTGCGACACTCAGTTTTTAGATCCTCGACCAGCTGCTGCTTTGACTCTGCCAGTCTCTTGATACATCGTAGATCTTCGATCATATACTGCCTGATATCTTCCATCAGCGTCGCTGTCAGCTTTTCTGGAGGCTTGTCCACCTTGAATTTCAACACTGCCTGTTCCGTCTCAGAGAATGAGGTTGTGACCACTGCTTGATCTAAACAATTTTTTCCAGCGTCTGATGGGGCCATAAGTCGATCCAGCGTGGAATTGGCCGGTGACAAATAGTCTTTTGCCATCGGAAGGACCAAGGTTGGACGATGACTGGTCTCTATCGTCGTTAGAGTTTCTACTTCTGCGGAATTTCCAACTGTAGTCTTCTTCTTTTTGGATTTATTCTTCTTCTTCTTCTTTGGCTGAGAAGATTCATCACGCTCAGCTGTAAAAAATTTCTTAGCACAAATAGTATCCTTGCCTCTGTGTGATTCATCGTCCACAATCGAAGATCCATCCGCATTGAGTGGATTCTCGTCTAAATTTGTAGTCGGGAAAAGGCTCAGTTGATTATCGGAGTGCCGAGTAATAACATGGTCGGAATCTTCTGATCGGTCAATGCTAGATCGAGAGCCCGTAGTTCCTATATTGTCATCCAGAATGGAGTCCTCTTCTTGATGAATGCCCAACCCTGTTGATAAAGAATTAACTCAGAGTGTCATTGCATTTCCTGTTGAGAAGGTAGAATCACTTTTGGAATCCCGAGGAAACATACCTGCAGGATTTGAAGCTTGTTGTATACTGGAGTCTTTAACATATGCTACGACCTTAGATAGCAGTTCTGGGTTCCTGTTGAATTCATTAATTGCCACAAGTCCGAGTCTTTCGATTGCTGAAGTGATAGTTCTAGAGCAACCCAAGAAATTCCCCAAGTGTTCCTTATCTTGAAAGATCTTAAGGTCTATATGATCAGTAAGATGACCATTCAACTTCCAGAGTATTTCTTTGACTGTCCAGAGAGACGCAGCCTGTTGCCATAAGAATGGATTTTCTTCCATATAAGTCTCTACATGTCGGACTGAGCTCATGATTTCGGGTAGTTCCGCCGCGTTGCGTGCAGAGGTCGACATCGTTCCAATGTCGTAGAGGGTAAAAAGGTTGACTTTGATTAGAATCTGTCAGCTAGTCGTCTTTTTCAATTCTCAAAGCACTCTCTGAAATTGAAATTTCTTGGGAGAAATGAAGATTGATTGTAACAAATTAGTATGAGTTGATAGGGCGGATGAGATGAATACTATTGCATGTTGGTAGACTATTCCAAAGTCTTTGCGACACAAGGAAACTGGAATGATTGTCGTCACACAAACTTGATTGATTGAAGGACACCAGATAGGCGTCTTGAAGTCAGATTATCTCATAGAAAATTTTTGATGCTTGAAAGAGATAGTCACATGAGACAGAGCTTCATTCGACCAAATAAAGTTTGTGTATGTGATAAATTGTTGTTATGAAGTCGGATTCTAAATTTCCAAAGAAAGAAAGCTGGTGGTCCGAGGTTGAACTGTGCTATGCTTAAGCGGCATCCACCCTCTTCAACATTCAGTTCTACTAACGTGCATATGAATCCAAACATATCCAAATAAAATTCCACCAAACTTTCCTTGAGCGACAGAGACAGGGCCCGGTGGGAATGCTGCATCATCCCAGTGATAAGCTCAAAAGTAAGGAAAGCGATCTTTCGATGGCAATTTATATATCTGTCATCGACATGGTCTATTAGTGTAATTTTTCAATATGGAGACCTCAATATTCAGAACTGTCTCATGATTTGCTGAGTGGTAAATGTATTGAGCGGATGTTTTTGAGCTTGAAAATCTAAATTGATAATGGTAGTATGTCAATCATACCTTTCTCGAAAATTGCGGTCTTCTTGCTTGGCTTGCCGAAAACTTTTCTTGCGTTAACAAGACATCGTGCTAATTGAATATTGGGAATTGATACCCCAAGCAATGATGATTCTCTTCACGGAAAAGTAGAGACTGGAAAGTCCCCAGCCTCTTCTCGTCTTGATGTGGCCGTTGTTGTCTGAGTTACCAGATCTTCCAGATGCTTTCATCATAGAATAGCTCACATAGTATTCAGATGATACTTGCAAATTGGAGCGGCTATTGTTGTAATTCTAACAGTGGCGCTTCTTTGATCATCGAGATTAGGGTACGAAGAGGCAAGAGCTATACAGGAGGAAAGAGACCCAGATATGAAGGAGACCATGTAACAGAGATTGGAGGATGATAATGATACCGCATTCATTTATGTAGGTATTTGACAAATGAATAAATACCTTAACTCGATTCAGTTATCACTCGAAATCTCCTGTGATACAATGCTATGCATTATAAGACTCCTAAAAGTTTAGACTAGAGATGTTATCGATGTATCAAATCTTATATCTTCATAAGAGGAAAGGGGAAGTATATATACAAAAGGAATGATGCAAGCATGCAAATTCCCAAAATTAAGACGTTGCACAGTAGATCTTTTACGATCACGTGATAGGCGCCACAATTTTGGTATGCTTTTGTTCGCAGGAGGTAACCACATTTGATGGAAAACTAAATGGTCAGCTTCGAGGCGTACATCATATCTCATTCATCAGAGAGGCCTAGTATTCGATACAAGGCTAGACTCAATTCGCGGCTCTCCCGGGACGTATGAAGTTCGAACTACCCTTCCGAATTTCGAATTTCTTCCGAAAGCCTGTTGCATCAACTCGTCAAAATGTGAATTCGGAGCCCGATAAGCAGTGAGACGTGACAAGTGGGCAGTAGGTAGCCGATCCAGGGTCTGGAACAGTTCAAAGTACGCTGCTGATCTTTCATTTCTGACACCGGTACCGGGATTCCTAGAAACAGAGATATACCTTAGTACTTCAGCATAGAGACTCTCCATTTAGGATACCAGAAGGTGTTCAGAGCCCATCTAATCATCCCGTCTCTGGAAATTTAAGGGTCAGCTAAGATTTAGAAGAACAGTTTTAATTCCTGGCGATGGAGTCAAGAATATCATTGCCAAGGCCGTTGGAAATGAAGTTTGGGATGGTTGTATTTGCCGCAAATGATTGGTCAAAATGCGAGGGGTAATTCACATTCTTTGCTTGAAGAGCCTCAAAGTTGCACGTTGTCTTACAAGTTCTTGATGGCTGCATGAGCTGAAGTTTGGCGAAATTGGAAGTCTCGAAATAGAATCCAATCAAAACGCATTCGAATCACGTGACCTTCGACAAATCCGGGGTTTGACTGGCTCGCTAGTTTGTGCAACCCACTCTTTCATCCTTTAAAGAGTGATAAAGTATGGAGTAAGAACCCAAGCCTGACATCAATATACTCCAATATTGGGGAAAGAAAGCGTCAACACACCACTACCAGAAGCTGTGGTGGTGATTCAACCCACGTGGAACATTCTGATGCATGAAATGTAAGCCTTCGGTAATGACATGGATACTGGCTTGTGGCTTTCTGGGCATCCCTTTTCTGACAAAAATGGGGTTGAAATATTGCTTTTCAGCATCTTGGCTTTCCGATAATAGGTCAGGCTTTCCTGTTGTCCCCAATTGAGGGCGTTGATACACTCATATATCATTATTTAGGCAACGACTTTTAGTTCATCGACGGATGATTGATTACATGGGAATCATTCGTGAAATTTGTAAAAATAGCATGAGCAGGAGGTTGTGATATTCAATTCTTATCTTTAGAAAATAAACATTGGGTGCTTACTATGGAAACACTTCGAGACGGGCTAACCCTCCCGCCTTGTAGTGCCTGTCATACAGGGCATATATCAATGTCATGGGATAAGTCAGCCTCAAGCCACCTTGGGTTTTCTCCATTTCAATGGGTTTATCCCTTGCTCTAAGGGTCTCGGCGTCCATCCATCTTTCTGTCACAAAATTTCGAATGCTATTTCTTCTCTGGGGTTGTGGAAGATGCCGGGAAAAGGATTGCTTGTGTTTCAAGGAATCTTTCCTTAATAACACCCACTTCTCGCGTCAACTGTTCTGTTTACACGATTGAAATGATTTCTGTAAAGCCTTACTGACGTCCTTCCACCTCTCATCACAAAGAAATTTATTCATCGACGCTAGTTTGTGCCTGAAAGATTTCTCATTATGTCAACGACGGTAGATATCAACCATCATTTCGATGGACAAAGGCATTGGTTCAAGCAGTTTACCTACACCAACCCTACCTTGAGGGATGCAGAGAAGGCAGGCCCCCTCGATCCAGCACCCACACACTTCCACAGAGATGTGTTAAATCGGGAGACATGGCGACCTCGAGATCTCCTTAGATATATCTCTCCTTCCTATGGCAAACCATATCATATGCTTGTACAAGCCGCTTCCAGTCCCGATATCCAACCACAAGGAGAATGGAGGCGACGAAGTGTTGGAGGAAATGCACCCACACTTTTGAGGGTATCTTCATGGGCCATCGGAAATGAACTCGACTCGGCTCAAGATATAGCCTTGGCTATCGGAAGATCTATTCTTGTCCTTCCTGTCATAATATGCATTGCTGTATATGGGATTACCAATGGCGATGGGAAAAACAGTGACAAATACACCAAGTTCCCTCATAAATGCTATGAGTATCCGAAGCATGCTCTGAATCAACTAGATGCTGCCCCAAATGCAGCGCAATCGATCAAAGGACAGCGCGAAGATGACGGAGATAAAACCTACATAATCAAGGGTGAACAGAATCGCCTTCTTCGACCTCGTGCCTTAGTTGTACTCCGTAAAAACAAATGGGTAGTCGTCGAAGATGGAAGCTTTTCTGGTCCATACATCTTCATTAGTTTTGCAGCCGCCCAATACCAAAGACCTGCCCCAACGGATCAAAACCCTGGAAACACTGAATTAAATAAAGAGGCCATTGATCAAAGAGCAAGAAAACTCACGTTGCATCATGGAATGGAGGCATATTGGGCAGACTTCCATGTAAGTCTTGATACTAAATTAGCGCAAGAACAACTACTGACTGTGTGTTAAAGTGCAGAGCGAATCAACAACCCGAAACCACTGACGATGTTCATCGATTCTGTGATGTCACCCGTGGGGCCCAGAAGGTCTGTGTTGTATTACCCGACCGTTCTCCACAAGCCCTAGTGTTCTTTGGTCAACGTCTCTGGTGTCTACCTGAAATCCTACTTGCCCGCGATCATAAAGTTAGTATCTGCACACCCGACTTTCAGAACAAGGACGGTGTCGATAACATAGAAGTTGTTGATATCATGGAGTTCACGCATCGATCATGGGCAAGAATGCTCACCCCAAGCAATGAAATTATCCACGACGGAAATGACGAAATTTTCCGTCTGTTGGCTGAACACTATACTGGTTCTCTGACGTTAAGTCGGCTCGAGCTGATTCAAGTTGCCCTCAAAGCTTTGAAGTCTAGACAGTTTACAGAGTTTCAACGTGGTGATATTGCCTATGCTCTCATGACACTTCTCACGAAACGCCCCCGTATGGATCCTACTGATACAGAAGAGCAAGCTCTTGCCCGATTATCACTGGCCAACGATAGTGATCAAATCGTCGAGCGCATGGCCTGTATGGATGGCATTCGCATGACAGGTAAACCTGCGTGGTTCAATCTCGAAGATGATCTTGGTGCCAATCTATGGGATATTCAGCCTCTCTGTCAAGTAGCAGGTGTTTGCCATGATGGATCCTTGATTCTAGATGGTGCCCATGCAATCTCCATTCGCTGGAAGGACATTCCCAGAATTTATTCTCTCAGAAGAAGATCTTGGAAGAAGCTGGGCGCTGATTGGGCGTTGGCGTTTGGACCAATTTTGTTTATTGCGGGATGCGTTTTGGTGGCTCAGGGTGGCTCAGTTGGTGGACTAGGGGCCTTCTTCTTAGTCCTGGGACTCATCATCTTGCTCTCAGCACCCTTTGCTGTGCGGATTCTCTACGGAGGGAAAGTTTGTAAGTAATATTCTATCTTCTTGACCGTCTGATACTAACAATAAAATAAGGGGGTGCCACACCTTGGCTTGTCGGCTTTGAAGGAACTCTTCCACTTGACCAGATCGAGACTCTAACTTTCGGAAACTCAATTGGTCGTCTTCAATACACACCTTCCAGCGGTCCATACTGCACTGGTAAAGCAGATGAGAGAATCGGTGGGGAACCTCACTTCAGTGTTGCGGATCTTCCTCACGGTCATAGATTGTTCACATTGATCGATACCGTAAGTTTTTACTATTCTTCGGGTCTCAAACGGAAAGCCAAACTAATCACATAAATCTCAGGGCACAATGACTGTTACTGTTTTCTCCGCCGAGCGTCCTCCATCTGTCGCTTTACTCGCGGGTAAAGAAGGAGGAATGTTGCGAACGATACTGTGCTCTTACGAAAGATCTAATAATGGATTGCGTAAAGAATGTGTGCTGAGAATGGAGACCCCAATGTGGGATGCCAGCGATGCGATGGGGTGGGTCAAACTCACGTAGCGAATTGCGACGCATAATGACTATATGGTTTCTTTGTATGATAGGATAAGTCGGGTACCCCACTTTCGGGCCATCCCTCTTTTGGGCCACTTTAAAAAAGCTCATTGTAAAAAGGAACCTCTCTTATTTATTCTTTAATAACTTTACAATACTTAAATTAATTGATTTAAAATTTTGATATATTATTATTTATATTATGTCTAAGATATATACTGAAATTAATATTAATTTGGTTTTATATGCAGTAGTGAATGAGCATTCAATCTGACAAGCCACTTCGGATTATAGGATTCTGAGGGTTACTCTTTAAAACTGTATAAATGGTTATTTATTTTATAAAAAAGGTGTGCAATATATGCAAAAGATAGTTTTGATACAGGAAAAACGATTAGCAGATTGAATATTAGTTTAAGAGTCTTTGGGTATTAATCTTATATATCGGTAAATTCGGGAAATTGAAAAGCATCTCCTCGATATTAGAGGAAATGATTTTATATTTAGGAAACGATAGGTTATGAACTTTCTTTGAAGGAATCCAGAGATTAGGATTAAAAAATAAATTAGAATCGATTCAGTATATATCAAAAGTGTAACTGTCAATATTATTAGTCAATAGTTCCCAAAATTGGATTTGTTTTTAATTTGTTATATTAAGCCTTAGCATTAGTATAATATGAATGAAGCAGATATACAAGAAGACTAGGAACTAAATGGACTAGTTCTAGGAAGCTCAGAATATTGTTTTATTCAGAAAAAGGAGCCTAGTTCTAGAGCTTGGATATCACTTATAGAATGCATCTCAGCCGTAAGGAGAGCTCTTGATCCCCTCATTATATTGAAGGGAAAATCAGTATAACAACAATGGTTTCCGATTGATTTAAAGCTCTATAAAGAATAGCATTTCATTACTACAGATAATGGATGAATTACAAATAATACTACCCTAGAATAGCTTTAAAAAGGTCTTTATACCTTAAATAGCCCCCCCCTTATCGAATAAGCTAAAACTCCTTATATTAAACAAGTATAGAAGTTATAAAACTATTGAATTTATATATAAATACTTTAAACACAATATATATCTCTTATTCCTTCCACCACATACATCACACATCCTACAGCCTCTTGATTTATTTATATTCTCACCTCTCAAAAGAATATACAGACATTACCTTAATAAATTAGCCTCTTTATCGGATTCTGAAGCAGTTGAAAAGACTAATTTCCTTATATATTATCAGAAAGCATAATTGGATAGTTTAATAGAGTATAATATATTATCTAAATAGAAAGCTTCAGATTTATGATCTCTAAACCACGCTAAGCCTATTATATCCAGATTATTGTTTGAGAACAGTAATAAGGAAGTTACAAATCAGAATTTACATTCTAATAATAATTCTGTATATCAATAAA